GATGAAGCTCTTTGCCACGGCTTCAGGGGGAGATTTTTCACTGACAATGATTTCCCGGGCCATCGGGTATAGGGGGATCAATGCATGTCAACAGGAAGGTAAGCTTACCCAGATGGGGGAAAAGGCCCAAACCAGATCGATATGGAGGGCTGAAATCTCAAGGGTTTGGGAGAAAAAAGGTTGTATGGGGCCACGGTATGAATCGGGTTTTTTGTTTCTTGGCAGGGAATGAAAGGACCGTGTCCATTTAGCAATGTCCTTCAAAAAATGGAGGGCCGACGAAGCGGTTTTGGGATGAGGCGTTTTGGGCCCGGGAATCCCCCAGGGGAAAAATTTAGGGAGAGAGCGAAATATTTCCCAAAGCGAAGTTCCTCTGGCACATAAGGCCGTACTTTTTCTACTAACATCACAGAAGATTTCAAGAGCTTTTCCCTTTTTTTGGGGGTTTTAATTTTTAAATGGATAAGTCATTGGAAGAAATTATAAGGTTTTAAGTTCCTCATTTTTTGGTTTGACTATCGGCTGGTTTTGGGAGATCATTTTGGGAAAGATTGGGGCATTAATTTTTGAGGGGGGCATTTTTCCACGGGAGTTATCAGATCCTGAAACATGTCTGATATCTGAGCTGAACTGCGATATGAAATCAAGATGGCTGAATTGAGGGGGAGAAACACGAGTCCGAGTTTTTTTAAAACCGAAAAAATTTAAAAAGGTCGATTACCCGGAATATTAAAAAAATTATGTCCTTTGAGTTTGGCGCCAAAAATTTTTTATTACTAAGTATATAGCAAGAATTTCCCTTCATAGTGCTGTATTTGTTTTGTTGCACCCAGTTAACGTGAAAAAAGGATATTTTGGAGGACCATTTTCCGTCAAGAATTTAATGAAACCCAACTGGGGAAAATTTGGGAGCCCAACCAGAAAAACAGAGCTGTTTGATCGGGGATGGGATAATTTGGGGTTGCAACGTTAGACAATGAGGATTTGTTTTTTGCATAAATGGGGTCTTGCTTCCTCGTTCCAAGGAACGGGACTTTTTATCTTTTTTTTTACAATTAGAAAAGAAAACTTGTTAAGAGGTGCTTGTGCTTCGGCTGCATGGGGAAAAAATTTAAAAAATTTAAAAAAGGGCCCAAAAAAACCCCTTTTTAGTTGGAAATAGTATCTGGTTTGGGAAAAATTTTTGCAATGGCTTAAATTTTATGGGGAAGTGGTTTAACACCCCTCTGGTGTTAAGTGAGAAAAACCCAGAAATTTTACAGATTTTTTTGCCAAAAACCCATTTTTTTGGGTTTTAAAATTTTTGGGGCAATCTCTTAAACGAGAAAAGATTTGATGTGGGGTCAAGGTTTTCGTCCCGGGGAAGATAAAAATGAGTAAGTCATCAAAATAGGGGTTTCCCCTTTGGGATGAAAGACTTGATGCATGTGTCTCTGAAATGTTTCCCCGGGAATTTTGAAGTCCGGGGCATAGCAGTATCCCTGATAGCCCAAAGGGGGGTAGTTACGGCTTTTTTTAGGAATTTTGGGGGGTGGATTTATTGCTATTTGATGAAAAATTCCGGGCCAAATCCAAAGTAGTGAATATAGTTTTTCCATACTTATTTTGAGTAGCCTTGGTGGGGGAAATGGATAGCGATGGGGAAATTTGAAATAAATTTTAAGCTCCGGAAACCACCCCAGGGTGGGATACTCCCCCATTAGATTTTTAACAACTTTAGTGGGCTTCCCCAGGGCTTTTTGACGAACGAATTATACCTTTCGCCATAACTCGAATTCTTTCTTTCTTTAAAAGCTTTTTAAAAATTTTGGGGGAGAGGCGACGAGGTTTTGAAAAAAAACTGGGGCCTTTTGTTTCTATTTTGATGATAAACTTTATTCGAAGTATCAACATTTATCGGTTGTGAAGGGTTAATTAATTCGGGATATTGTTTTTTAAAACCCTTTTCGAACTTTTGTATTGCCGACTAATATTGATAGGTTAGATGCTACAGACTTTTAAATTTTTTTGGGTTGGCCGTCTGAAGAAAAATTTAGGGGTTGGGGCGATAACTCTATGATGTTTAGCACGACAAGCAAATTAAAATGTTTTTAGGAAATCAACCCCAATGATTGGTTGGCGACATCTGGGGATAAACGGGAAAAACCAGGTAAATTGGGCGCCCTAAAAACCCAAAATTTGGAAAAAATTTGTTTTGTGCCATAAGTCGCATTTTGTTTTTCGGAGCGGTAAAAAAGTTAAGTCTTTTGAACTTTAGCATGAGGCGCAAAAATTTTGAATAAAAAAATATCCGCCCTGTATTTTATCAAAAAAAGTTATCTTAAGGGAAAAATGGCAAATAAAATTTGGGTTTAAAAGGGGGGATCGCCACGAGGCCAGGAGGGCGATCGCCATTCTTTTTTTCCGAACCGAAAAGAGCATGGAGTAGCACACTTTTTCGCCCTTTTTTGCCAAAAATTTTTACGGGGAAAAAAAATATCCATGTGTGGGTTCTTTTCCTTTAAACGATTCCCGGGGAATTACTGCGATTTCGGAAATGGTTTGAGTTGGGGGGGCTACGGGAACGCTTCACGAAACTAGTTAGTTCGCTTACTTTTCTGCGTGTTTAAACAATTTGTGGTTCTTTAAATTTTGGGGAGTTTTTTTTCAGATGTTGCTGCAAAATGAATTAATTCCGGGAAAAGCCCCGTTTTATTTTTCAGCAACAAGGGGTTTATCTTAAGTTTTATTGAGAACACAAGAATTGTTTGCGTTCCGTTAGGGGAAAAAGTCCGCCACAGCGATTTCAAGAGCGGCTCGTCAATATTATCGCCCCGGGGGGAGCGGGATGCGCGTAAGGCCGTTTGGGCCCCAATTTTAAACCCTGGGGGAGATTCGAAATTTGGAATCCTCACTTTCTGAATGTACCCCCGCGATTAAACGCTTTTTTTAAAACTTCGTACTTTCCGTTTTCAGGTGGTTTTAGAACCAAGTTGCTAACAGAATTTTAAAAAGTCTGACTCAACAGCAAAACAGAACATAATTAAGTTTTGTGGTAAAATTTAAAATTTTTTCCTAAATCGAACTGGGCCTCTAATCGCAAAAAACCATAAAACGCAGGGTTATGTTTCCAAAAAAGGGGGGGTTTGACTGCCACGGGGGTAAACTGGTTACTATCACATTCATTAGGGATGTTGGGAAAGGGAAAAAAAATCTTTTTTAAAAATATATTTTTTGTTTAAAAAAAAACGTTAGGAAAAAAAGAAATCGTATTTGCATAAAAAAATGAATACAGGGTTAAAAACTTACAGAATGCGGGTACAAAAAAAATTTTTCTTCGCAAAATGGGCAAACAGTTTTTGAAAAAAAAAATTTTTCGGTGTATGTTAAACGTGAGTGCAACAGAAATTTTGAAAAAACACACAGCAAACAAAATGAAAAAAAAAAGTATAAAAACTTACCTTTTTTTTCCCGGGGACAGCTCAGGCAGGAAATGATTTAAAAATGGGGAAGAAATGAATAGATTAAAATTAGAAAAAATTTAAAAATTAACGTTATTATCTTTTTAAAAAGAACTGGATGTTAACGGGTTGCGTTCACGCGGGTTTAGGTCACCAATTATGGCGTGAAGTGAGAAATATTTTTTACACGCCATATAAATAGTAAAAGAATGATAAAAAAGGTTTAAAAAATATATTTTATTTACAGCATTATAAAAAAAATTATAAGAATTTTTCTTAAAAACTTAGGTTGAAACATGGGAAAATTGAATAAAGGGGGAAAAAACGCCTTTTCCCTCAGGGGAAAAAGAATTGTTAGAGCGAGTGTTCCCTTCATATCAGTTCACTTTCTGCTCGCCAATTGGTTCCAGTTGAGGGAAAAGGTGGGTGCCGAGGCACGCCACAATTGAAAGGTCAACAAAAAGAGCCCCGACTCATAAAATTTCCCCCTTGGGGATGAAAAAACTTTTGCGCCAAAAATCATCGAAATTTTTTTTATTTTTTTTCTACGTGTGCGGTTTTTAGCGTCAGTTCTGCAAGATTTTGTTGTTTTCGGATATATTTCGCGTACTTTTCTTTTTTTCAAAAACCTTGACTCCAGGTTTTTTTTGATTGTTTGAAGAATTTTCCTAACCTTAATATGGGAAAAAAAAGGGTGAAAAAACCAGTGTGTTAGCCCCAAAAACCGGGGTAAATAAATAAAAGAAAAGTAAAAAATTTTATGCTTGCACCATAAATGTGGACCCCGGGGGTTTTTCCATGCTTCGATTTTCCCACACTCCCTTTTTTTCTTTTTTTGTAAATAATTCAAGGTAATTTTTTTTTAAATTTTGGGAAAGGGATTAATGTGTTTTTTTCAATGAAAAATTTTTGAAAAAATGAATATGCTTATGAAATTTATTTCCCCCGGTAAGTCCCTATTTTTTATAATTTCATGTAAGTTAAAAAAAAACGTTATTAATTTTACTTTAAATATAACTGACAAAAAGGGAAAATCTAAAGGGGTACCCAAAAAATTACGACGTTAGGGGTGAAATTTTTTATTTATGCGTTTTTTTCTTTGAGTTTAGCGACAAAGGGCCCCCTCCTGAAGGGAGTAGTCCTTACGCATTCACCCCGTCCCTAGCGAGCAGCACGCAAAAAAAATGTCCTGAAAGGGTTAAACCGGTCACGGGGCCCCTTGCTCTGAGAAATTTACTTATTTAAGAGCAGTGGTTTTAAAAAAATTTTGGGGGGGAAATTTTTTTTCAAGAAATCAAAAAACATCAATTTTGATTTTTTCTGTCGGTTTGTACGGGCACGAATTGATATTCTTTTCAATTTAAAAGATCACGGTTAGCGATAACAGACAAGAGTGCAACTCAATTTAAACTGATGTCTTCAATCGATTGAGCTGAAATTTTGTATTTTCACGTTTAGTTTGGGTGACAATACATGTTTTGACTATTTTTATTCCGATATCGAATTAGTTACTGTAACGATCTTGTTCAGGTGTTAAGGCGAGCAATAATAAAGGTGTGGGCGGGGCGTAGCTCAGATGGTAGAGTGCTTACTTAGCTGGTGAGAGGTACGGGGATCGATACCCCGCACCTACAATTATTATTTTTTCATGTAAAATATTTTTGAAATTCGTTTGATTTGTACAACGAGATATTTTACAATATTTCCACTCAGAATACGTACAAAGCATGTTATATTTTTACTGTTCTAGAGGAAACACTAAGAAAAAAGATCTATAAAGCTATTTCTATTTACTTTGAAACTTTCTATGATATCTATTTACTCGATTCTAGTTTCTCCCGTAACACTTTTAATTGACCTAGTTACTGTAACGATCTTGATCAGGTGTTAAGCCGAGCATTTTTACAATAACACGTGTCGCCCGGGACAGTGGCACAGATGGTAGAGCGCTCGTTTAGCATGCGAGAGTTACGGGATCGATACCCCGCGCCTCCAATTATTATTTTTTCGTGCAAAATACTTTTGAAATTTGTTTGATTTGTACAACGAGATATTTTACAATACTTCCACTCAGCATACGTACAAAGTGTGCTATATTTTACAAGCTTTTATTTAACTTGCAATGTAAAATGTTCGGATGGAATCTTGCAACTCAATTTTGAAGCTGATGTCTTCAACCGATAGAGCTGAAATTTTGTCTACCCGTTTAGTTTGGATGACAATGTATGTTTTGACCATTTATATTCCGATATCGCAATTAGTTAAAAAAGACTAGCTGCATGGCCCGCCGTTGCACGGGCTTTCTCTACTTTTATAAATTTTCCCTTTCCTTCGCAAAATTAGCAATTCTAATACTCTTTTTTAAAACGACTTCCACTCCCTCCTCCTCCTCCGCTTCGCCATGTGTTGCTCGGGCTTTTATGGAATGTATAACTTAAAATTCCCTGTTTCCAAATTTTTTCTCTTTTCTTTGTTAGACAGCTTTATTCCCCGGCATTGCACGAACATTTCTAAATGCATAACATATTGTCATGGAAATTCCCTTCCCTATCGCTATTAAAGCTCTCGAGTAAGTGAACATTCTCCGATGATTGTTAAACAGCTTGACACGTGCACCCTTCCGGTGGCAGAAAAAGTAATGAATTTTGGCAAAAAATTCGTTAAAAATTTTTTCGACATTTTTTTTTTTAAATCCTAATTTTGTAAAATATCAAAGTTTTGGGGTTTTAAAAAATCTTTTTTTTCATATAAAACGCATAAAAAATTGATTCATTTTAAAAAAAATCATAAAAATATGTAAAATATCATTTTTTTGTAAAATAAAAAAAGGGGACATATTGTATCGTGACGGAAATAAATTATTTTTTCCCAATTACAAAATTACTGGTAAGTTTTAAATGTGCGAAAAAAATTTTTTGAGTACTTTTTAAAAATCAAAAAAACTAAGCGATAATGTTTTTTTCGAACTCGGGTAAAAAAGTGACGAATCCAGGCCCCCAAAGGCGATCGATCCACGAAATCTTCCGAAAAAAGAAATAAAAAGACCTTTGAAAAAAAAAGGGAAAAGACATATTAAATTTTTTGCATTGCGTTTTTAAAAAAAAAAAAATTTTTCCCTGTTTCCCTTTTTTTAAGTTAAACCTTCAAACTTCATATATTGATTCAGAAACAGCGAAAATTTTTTTAAAAAAAAAATGTAACAAAAAAAAGGGGTTTAAAATATTTCTCGGAAAAAAGGGGAAAAAAAAAAAAACAAAATTTTTTTTTTTTATAAATCGAAATTTTTTAAAAGCTTTTTTTTTTCCCTCTTTGTACAGATTACAGATAATATCGTTTCACACGGAAAAAATGTCTGTAAGGATTTTTTTTTATAACTAAAAAATTATTAAGTTTTTTAAATAAAATTTTGGGTTTTTTTTTGAAAAATCGAAAAAAAAAAAAGGTTTTAGACATTTTATTTTTAAATATAATTCAAAAAGAAAAATGCATGGTTTTTTATTGGTGAAAAATTTTCATTTAATTAACGTGAAAGAAAATGCAATCGGAACGTTTTAAAAATCTTTTCATAAAAATTTAGCGATTTTGAATCATTTTAAAAAAAAATCGAAAAAATAAAATTATAAATTGTTTTGAAAAAAATTTATCCCAAATATCGTGGAAAAGTAAATAATTTTTTCCGATTCTGAAATTTTATTTTTTGGCTGAGTCTCAAAAAAAAATTAGATCGTTTTAAAAAACGTTTGGTATAAAAAAAAGGTCAGAAAAATTGGAACTTCAACGCCTGGCGGGAAAAAAATGGCAATAATTATGCTTTTTTAAGGTTTTTTAATTAATATTTTTTTTTAAAAAATTCAATATTGGAATATAAATGGTCACAACGGATTCTTCAGATCTTTTCCAATCTTTTGGTACCTTCGGGGGAATTTTTGCGTCGTCGTTTTGAGAAGATACACCTAGTCTTATAATTGCATGCATTTGTTTACTATCGAATTTTAATAGTGTGTTTTGTAATTAAAGTAATTTTTCGGGTGGGGAATCTTGGCCTAAATTTTTTGAAGCTAAAATTTCTGAAACCGATTGAGCTAAAATTTTTTGTATACTTTTGGGGTTTGGATGGAAAGGGGCATTTTTTGATTTTTATATTCCGAAAATCGCAATCAGTTCAAATTTTAAATTGAAAACTTTTTCCCCCTTTTCTCTTTATTCTGCCGAGCAGCTTACCGGATTAAGGAAGTTTAAAAAGGGAATTTGCATTTTTAAAAAACATCTTATTTTTTCCCTTCAAATTGAGACAAAGAAATAATTAAATAATGGGAAAAGGGGATATTTTATTTCGCCACCCATACGGTTTTAGTTCTTTTTGAATAAGATATTTTCTATTTTTGCTTTTTTTTAAAAAGATTCAAAAAACCCCATACGTTTTCATAAAAATGATTTTTTTAAAACGTTCCGTATGAATTTTTTTTGTGTTATTGAATCGATACTCTGCACTAGGAAAGTTTAGGCTTTTTTTTTTTAGAATCAGTCATTTAAAAAATAAAAAAATAAAACTTTTTTTCGATTTTCAAAAAATACTTAAATTTTTAATAAAACATTTTTAAAAAATTCGTTTTTTAAATATAATCGCACGAAAATATTTTTCGTCGTATTATCAAATTCTGCACAAAAATTTAAAAAAAATTTGGGTTTTAAATTCGGTTTTTAAAAAAAATTTTTTTTCGTTTTTTAAAATAGTATTATAGTAAAAACAAAAAAAAAAATGAGTTTTTTAAAATTTTAATTAATTTTTTCTTTTCCCAAATTTTTGTTTGGTCTAACAGTTTTTTTCCCCCCTTTCCATTATCCTCTTGTTGCGGCTCAATGGGAAAAATCTATCAAAATATATGTTGCTTGGAGGAAAAAAAAGGGTTAATTTCCTCCCAAACTGGACTGTTCAAAAATTTAAAAAGCAAACGATCTTTTCAACAAAATGCATCGAAATTTAAAATTAACAGACTGAGAAGCCTCTGTCGGCGATAGCTAAAAAGTGAAAAACTTTTTTAAAAACAAGCTTTTATTTAAATGCTCTAAAAAGAATAAAATAAACTTTTCTTTTAAAACTTTTTTTTCTATCAACTTATAAAAACCGTTACACAATTTATGATAAAAAATTTTGTCGCGAATTTACCTGGGGTTTGATAAACAAGCAAATCAAATAACGTCTGATTGATTTTTTAATTTTTAAAATTTTCAAACTAAGTAAATACGTGTAATTAAATCTCGCGAAAACCAAAATCATAAAGTTAACGACTTTTAAATTGATAACAAATTTTTAAAAAAAAAAATTTATTGGCTTTTAAACTTTACTAAAAGGTTTTTTTTACTATTTTTTTAACAATAAGACAATAAATGGTGCATACGGTGATATACATCGATGATTATATATATTTACGAAATCCGATCTTTCTCTTTTTCAATTATATTTTTTTAAATAACATTAAAAAAAAAAGTTTCAATACTTTTTAAAATTTCTTAAATTTAAATCATATAAAAAGATTTTTAAAACTAAATAATATTTTTTTGGGAAAAAAACTAAATTTTTATTTTTAGTGCTCTCCTTTTTAGAATTTTTTTGTTTTAAAAAAAAATATCTTTTCCAGGCATTTTTTGATGGACGTTTAAAACACATTCAGTCAATAATTTTTTTAAACTTAATGCGGAACATAATTTTTTTTTCAAATGCGCGTGACAGTACTTCCCAACCATTTTTACAAACCACCTCCCAAATTTAATTTTTTTTTTTTCTTTCTTTTTATTACAAAGGGAAAAATTTTCACACATCGATAATTACATTTTTTACACAATTCATTTATTTTCAAATTCTATATTGTGGAAAAAAAATTCTCCAAAATTTTAAATTTTTTCTTTCAAAAAACTTCACTTAAAACAATTTTGTTCAGTGGTTTAAAAAAACAACCACAATGTATCCATACCCAAAATTTAAAAAAAATTTTTAAATTTTGGAAAAGTATCCCGTATTAAAATTTTTTAAATATACACAAAAAAATTGCATGCTGTGGGGAAGACAAATATTGGGGATTTTGGGGTATGGGTTTTTAAAAAAAAATTTTTTCTTTCGAGTAGACTATTTTTTGAAAATTTAAATATCACTGAAGCTGATCATATAATTGTAAATGAGCCTTATTTTAGTGTGTGCTGCTATTTTAGTGTCACTGTTAAACTGTACTAGTACTGTACGTAAACTTCCCTGAACACCTGGCTTCGAAATCTAAAAAAAAAAAAAAAACAAATAAATTTTAAAGTGTTTTGACATTTTATAATGAAATAATCATGTTTCAAAAACTGAAAGCATTAAGATAAGAAAAATGAAACGAAAGAATATACTTAAAGAGGTAATTTGTCTAACTATATAAAATAGTAGATTGCCCTGACACGCCCCAACTTGTTACAGTTTCAAATTAATATGAAACCAAAAGGGAATTATAACATATTTTACTTATGCGTTTGGACTTTTCTCAAAACTTTTAAAATACAAGCTAACAAACAAACACTTCCTGGGGTCTAAAGAAATTCTTCCCCGATTTTTTATGATTGCTCCAGGGTCAGAACACGGGGTTCCCTACGAGCCATAAAA